CCCAGGGTCGGAGGGGAAATAATAGGCAGGCAGACGGCTCGTTATTAAGTCCTGGGGCCAGAACCAGATAGACCCCAGGCACCTCCTCTGAGGGACAGTAGGTCATTTCAAAACCTGTCGCCTCCTCCCCCTACGCCCCTGTCCTGTCCTCTGCGAAGACAAGACGGTTCGGTTCGGGTGGTGAGTGTTGTAAAACTGAGGAAACAACGGGGGAAAATCGGGCCACCCACCTACTCCAGCCGCGCTGCCGGGCGGCGTGTGTGAGGCTCAATTCCCGCGCGCTCCGCCAGCGCGAATTCCGAACCTGCGCCCTTGACCGCGCCTGAAGCTGGGGAGGGGGCGTCGTTCAGCGTGGAGCGCCCGCGCTGCCCGCCAGAAACGCCGCCCCAGTTTTGGCAGCAGCGATTTTCCTAGAAGACGCCTGGGTTTGCGAAGATCGAGGTGATTCGCGAATGTCGGCCAGGGGTGAGGGAGCCCAGCCTAGGGGCGCAGCCCCCTGTTTAGTTCTCCAGACGGGAGGCCTAGAGGAGGCACCCTTTGGGTCCACCCAGCTGAAAGAAGGGGTTCATTCTCAACTTTCCGTGAGGAAACTGTTCGCACATCGGGTCCCAGGTTTGGAGGGAACAGGCACCCGAGTCCCTCTCTGCGCGCACAAAGCTGCTGCGCCCGGGCGCACAGCCCCTCTGTGCCGCCGGTCAACTTTAAAGCATCTCTCTGGGAGCCCATTGATCCGGGCGGGCAGCGGGACCACACTCTGAGCCCCGGACCTTGCCCCAGCCCCTGCATCGGACGGGGCTCCAGGCTTCTCCCCAGCCGCAGCGGCGGCAACCGCATCTTCCCTGGCCTGGCTGGTGTCTCGCCCGCGCGACCCCCAACGCCCGGTCCTTACCGTGCAGCCTGGCTCGTGCCCCGGCCGGGCCGGTGAGCGACACGCGTCCTAGCTGGCGAGGCTCCTCCCCGGGGACTGCCCCGCCCGAGGATCGGGACAAGGCTTGACTGGCCCGGGCGCTGGCTCGCCGC